CAAAAATAGAAACTTACAGACTGCTCAAATTTGAAACGTTGACGTTAATATAGACAGAAAAACAACCAGAATTTGTTTGTTCGAGTTGAAGGCAATCAGTATAATTGCAAAGAAATAAGAACAAGTCATTACTCTAGGAATCATGTTGAAGTTGACTTCGATGAAATTTATCAAAGTGCAAACAGGTATTTCAAAGGCAAAAGCTAACGAATGTATAAACAAAGCTTCAAATACGAAATTGACAGAGAGTATACAAATGACGGTTTTACCATATGAATTTACCCCTACAGCTACACCTAATTGCACACTTCTAGTTGATAAAAATTGGTTACATAGAAAATCTTGGGAACTTCGAGCATTTATTTCTAGTATTATAATTGCAGTTTACACAGTTGCTTTGAAAGGACCATGTATTGCATCGTATTATATGTTTGTGTTCTCTATTTCATTTATAACATTGCGAATAAGAGTTTTACGTATATATTCCTTGTTTAATCCATTTCTATATGCCTAGCGAATACCTGAAATTCGAACGAAATTTCAGAATATATTTAACGTCACGTGACGAGGCTCGAATACATATGTCTGGACTTTTTGTTTTTTTCATACCAGCAGATCACTAAGAATTTCTACACTCTCTCACATTTAAAACACGTAAGAAATGTTATCTTCTGTCTTTTGAAAGAGTGTATATGTCATTATGTTTACTATACTGTACTATCAAAAACAATCACTTTTTAGCTCATCTGGCCCAATGGGCAATGTGAGCTTTTCTCATCACTTGGCGTCCGTCGTCCGTCGTCCGTTAACTTATACAAAAATCTTCTCCTCTGAAACTACTGGGTCAAATTTAACCAAACTTGGCCACAATCATCATTGGGGTATCTAGTTTAAAAAAATGTGTCCGATGACCCGGCCCACCAACCAAAAAGGATTAGAACATAGGGGTAAAATGTAGATTTTGGCTTATATCTGTGAAACCAAAGCATTTAGAGCAAATTGGACTGAATTAAAATTGTTTATCAGGTCAAGATCTATGTGCCCTGAAATTTTCAGACAAATCAGACAACCCGTTGTTGTGTTGCTGCCCCTGAATTGGTAATTTTAAGGAAATTTTGCAGTTTTTGACCAAATTGTCGAAAGAAAAATCGGTTATTGATTTGGTGATGTACGGCGGGCGGGTGGGCGGTCGGGCGGCTGCCAAACAGTGTCCGTTCATTAACATAAAAACGCTTTGACGAAATCTTTTCAAATTTAGATATGTTGTTTCCTGTGACTAAATGAAGGTCAAGTTCAATTTTCACGATTTTAGCTTCTCTCGTTGTTGAGTTGTAGCCCTTTTCAGTAGCCAGAAGTGGTACTTATTATGTTTGGTTATTATCTTGAATATTATTATAGATAGAGATAAACTGTAACAGCAATAATGTTCAACAAAGTAAGATCTACAAATTAGTCAATATGACCAAAATGGTCAATTGACCCCTTAAGGAGATATTGCCCTTTATAATCAATTTTAACAATTTTTTTGTAAATTTTTGTAATCTTTTACAAAAATCTTCTCCTCTGAAACTACTGAGACAAATTTAACCAAACTTGGCCACAATCATTATTAGGGTTTCTAGTTTAAAAAATTTGTCCGATGACCCCGCATACCAACCAACATGACTAAAAATAGAACATAGGAGTTTTTGTCTATTACTTTTGAACCGTTAGAAACAGAGAAAATCTGAAAGGAGCAAAAATGTTCAGAATAATGAGCTCTTCCAATTGTCTATATACGTCAAAACTGTAATACAAGATCAACAAAATAGAGATTTTTGTCATGAAGTCTATTCTCGTCTACAATGTTGAAGAGTGTCCTTTGTTTGATATGCACATAGACCAAGGTGAGCGACACAGGCACATTAGAGCCTCTAGTTTGTTAGTGTTTTTGTTAGTTTTAATTGTATGTTTGTTTTTATGACAGTTATTATGTATGTTAACACAATTTTGGCTACTGGATCCCAATTATAAGAATAGGAAGATGTGGTATAATTGCCAATGAAACAACTGTTCACCAGAGACCAAATGACATAGAAGTTAACAACTATAGGTCACCGTACCGTCTTCAACAATGAGCAAAACCCACACTGCATTGTCAGCTATAAAAGCCCCGAAATGACAAATGTAAAACAATTCAAACGAGAAAACTACACAGGCAAATTTGGCTCACGTGAAATTCATGTGAAATATTTTACGTGAAATTCACATAAAACGAGCTTATACATGAATCTCACATGAAAATGTTCATGTGAATTGAGATTCACATGAATCTCACGTGAAGTTTTTCACATGAATTTCACGTAAACTCTTTTTCAGAAAGAAAATTGGTATTTTCATGATTTTAATCAAATTTGAAAATTTAGATGTTATTTGAATAACCTAATTTTCAAAATTTACGTGAAATTCACGTGAAGAAAATTCATGTGATTTTCTTGTGTAGTTCACGTGAGTTTCACATGAGATTCACGAGAATCACATGAACTGATTTCACGTGAGTTTTACGTATAAGCTCGTTTGAGGTGAATTTCACGTGAATTTTTGGTGTGATTCACATGAATTTAAATTCACGTGAAATTCATGTGAGTGAAATTTCCCTGTGTAACGGCCTCATTTATGTAAAAAAACAATGAACAAAATACAAATATGATAAACAGGTACAAACGACAACCACTGAATTACAGATTCCTGACTGGGGACAGACACATGCAGAATGTGGTGGAGTTAAACTTGTTAGCGGGAGCCCAACCCTCCCCTTTACCCGGAACAGTGGTGTAACAATACACAAAATGAACAAATTATAAAAATCAGTCGAAAATGGCTTAACTCATCAGATCAAAAACAGTAGAAAAACAAGTAGCAAAAGCACAGACCGGACGTGGCAGGGTATTTATACATCCCTAAAACAACAAAAACAGACATTAAGTACAGATTTGAGAGTACTCACAGTTACTGACAGCTTGTTCAAAGCCAATAACAACTAATAAAAAATTCATGTATCTAAGACTAAAACATCAAATAGTACACAGTCAACATCGATGGATTTAGTGTAAAGGCGTCATTAACAGTCAGAGAAAAACATGACCTTGTGCAATGCCAAAATACAGGTATCGGCAGATTATAGAACCATGCATGAGCATATGTATATAACAATAAAATGAGTTTGGTTTTAATTAACTGATATTTATACCAATAAAACAATATCTAAAAATCTAATTACAGTGTTGAATTGGTAACCTTTTAGAATAAGTTTATTTAAAGGATCGATTAGTTTTACCCGGATCGTATATGAATTTCAGGGCTCGGTTGACAACATCTCCGTAAAAATTATAAAGGACTATCTTGTTTGAAATAAGTTTTCTACAGGTACCGTCAAACTTAATATCCAAATATTTGTATCTATTAAGATTACGTTCATTGAAATCCAAAACGTCACTACAGACACTGGCATAGCGAACTAGTTGTGAAATATAAACAAAGCAAGATAGTGCCAAAGGAACATCAACATCAATAAAAAGGAAAATTAACAATAGGGAAAAAAACATTGTCACTTTTGTCGTAAATTTTAGTGTAGAATTCGCCGTGTAAAAATGAAAAATCTAATTCTAGGAGAGTACAGTTTTTACAGATTATATTTTGATTCATTTAAAATAAGTTTCTTTGGGTAAATTTCGGCAGGATACTTAGAAAATTCTTGATTATTCAACGATACAATATCATCAAGATAACGAAAAGTCTTCTTGAATTAATCAATTAAATGCAATTTAGACGGGTCTTTACCGAGTTTTGTCATAAATGTCTGTTTTGTTGTTCACACAATTTTGTCAATATAATGGAAATATAAACAACTGATACAAGTGGGAAGTTTAGCTAGCTATAAAATCAGATTTAAACCACAATTTTTAATGGGGATGTCTGTACCAATTCAGGAATATGACAGTTGTTTTCCAGTCGTTCCGATTGTTGATATAGCCGAGCGTTTGGTTTTTTCAGGCTTAATAAACCTCCCTGTTTGTTTGATTTATATTGAAGTTCGGTGTTTCTATTAATGCATTATTAATCAGTATTTGAAAAATGTCTGCCAAAGCCCTGCGTCAATCGTTGTATCAATCATTAATTAAATGCAATGTTAAATTCTTCCTTCAGATGTCCATTAAACTGAAAATTGTGTGTTCCCTATCTGCAAAATACAGTTGTTATCAAGTTAAAGCTTTAATTTTTCACCTTAGCGCTTTGTTATCATCTTCGGCAAAAATACTTCAGAAAATTATCTGTTAGCCATTTCATGAGATGTGTAAATTTCATAATTTTTTTATTCATGAAAATTACTGCAGAACGAAAAAAGGTCAGAACGAAAATGTTCCAACAATTTGTCCATCATTTGTTAATATATAGTCACGTATTGGACATTGGTAAATATATATATTCTAAATATGATAATTTTCGTATGGTGTGTCAAATGTATTGAATACAAAGCTTTTGTTTCAGACAATTAGTTCAATGTGGTTCATCACTGTTTCTTTTACGAAAGTTTCATTTTGGGTCTTACTGAAGGATTGATTATTAACGACTAAACATCATCGATTTAAAACATGAAGGTTTTATTTTTAAAGGTAAACTGACCTGAGCAGATTCCTTTGATCTTGTTTTACAGTAAATTAGACACTTTCTTGTGTCATATATATTAGATAGACTATGCCTTGAAAAATATTTAAAAAATTGTACTTTTTTTTATCAACATGTGCAGGTGTTATTTACAATTACTGTGTTGGAGTTTTATCTCGTTTGGAAAAATAGATAAGATTGCAAATGAGACAACTATTCACCAGAGTTCAAATGACGAAGATAAAAGCAATTATATTTCACTGTACGGTATTTAACAATAAAAAAAAAAAACATACTGTACAGTCAGCTATAAACGGTCCCAACATGAAAAATGTAAAGCAATTCAAACCAACGGCCTAATTTATACAGTACAATTTATTAAAAACAAATATGACAGACATGAACCAATGACAAGCACTAACTTCTCAAATTATCATTAAACACAGTATATGGTAGTACCTATAAAAAACAATATATAACTATACAAATTCATGTTGCTGAAGTTTGCCAAAGATGCTGCCCACAATATAGGCCTACTACGTAAGCTACAAATTAGACTAAATATTTAAATATAATTTTTGTTTTCGTTTCAAACATTTATAAAAGCGGAATGTAAAATATCGCCATTAGTAGTCAGTTTGGTTCAATTGCGACAAAATAAGCTTAAAATCGTCGCTCATGTATTATTGGCATGCAAGTCAATACTTCAACCTCATTTGAATCCGTAATTACGCAATCTTCAGTTAGACCTTTAGTTGCGCATGTGTTTAGTATGTGGTCAGCATGTTCATTCTAAAAAGAAATAAATATCAGCATTGAAAAGTGAAACAATGGAGCCACGAGGAATAACCATTTCGTTGACTGATCCTGCTCACAAAAAATATTTTTTATACAGGTGTAAAATGATGATTTACATATATTTTAAATCTATAATATGAAATCAAACAGATCTTGAAAAATCGTCATCAAACGGTTGTACGTGCTTCTACAGACCTTTATTGCAAAAAAGGACATACACTTATTTTGCTTAACCTTTATGTTTGCTTTGACGGAATGTCTTGAAAATTTAACATTCTTTATCTGGTAGAAATGGACAATCTCTGATTTTGTCGTAAATTGAGCCAAACATTAGAATATTATATCTTAAGCTTGCAACAAGCGATTCATTTAGTTTAAAAGTGTGTATTTTGATGTTCTGACAATTTAAATTACTTATTGGCCTCTCACAAACACATCCGCTTTTAATTAAATTTTATGATAAGATTACATTAAACTTATACGGAGTGTTGTTTCCGATATTTTTTCAGTTTTCTTGAGCAGCAAAAAAGCTAATAAGCTTCCTGCCCGAAGTAGCCAGCACATTTTGACTTTGTTTTCTTAATCATGTGCGGTCTCTCCTTTCTTCGTTCAATTTAGTTGTGATCCTATTGGTAATTTAATTGTGTTTTACTTTTACGATAAATGGAATAGATTCGAAAAGGTGAGGTTTGTGCGTACCCAATTCTCGTTTAACCTCTCCTCATTTGTTCACGTATCAAGTCAAGCATGGGTTTTAAGTTGTTGTTTTCTTAGTATGTACGAATTTTTTCTAAGAAGTTGGAAGTTGAAGTAGACTTTTGTAAATTCCTTTATCTTCTAGTCATTTTTGTTCTTCTTATTTTATTATCCCATTTTTACATAGCCTACATGTAGTGGTAAAGAGTTTACAGTTTGAATCGACTTCATTTGAAATGCAGTCAATTCGAACTGACAGTTAGTTTAACTGTCAAGTAGATACGAATTTTCTTTCTGAGAACTTTCCAACCCATATGCAAGACCCGTGGTATAGGAGACAACTCTTACAAATGTATTGCATGTCATTTGTGCGTTTTAACCTAGCAGTTATTGAACCACTGACGAAGAATTTATGTTGTTTGCATGTGGTTATGAGAATGATGCAGCAGCATCTTAGAAAATTGGACAAGTCTTACTCAACGAAGCATGTTATTCAGGAATAACATTTAAAAAAAAATTCAAAAATCAAAAGCTGAAAAGCTGAAAAGGTAGACAATTAACATCATACCATGATGATACATGAAATGATTCTTAAAAATATATGTACTGAGGAGTATGAGAATAAATCTTGACATCAGTTAAATGCAATCTTCGAAGATTTGGGAACATTTCAAAAGGGAAAAAATGGATTGAATAATTAAGTTATCTTAGATAATTTAACGGTATGTCTTTGGTTTACAAATACAAATGGCAATATTCTAGAAGATATGATCTGAACAACCATCCTGGTACAAGCTAATGCTAACAGGAACCTAACATTAGCACAACGATAGTACTTAGATAGTGTCAGACTATCAAAATATTGAATTTAACGTCTGTCACATGGCAAAATCCTAGGTACTTTATTTATATGATTTGCACCTCGCGACTTTGGTCCTTTTGATTAAATTTCTTCCCTTAGTTGTAGATTGAAAATATAAATAATATCAAATTTGCGGATAATCCAGTCTTTTTACGTCTTGGATTTAAATTTAACGTGTCTTTGAAAACGTCCTTTGGCGAATATTTACAAATATGTCGTGTAATTCTAAGGAAAATCCTTAAAATTTGAAAATGGGAAGGATGAAATCATCATGTTTTGAAAGAATTTGGCCGAAAACTTACGAAAGCAGGTGAGATAACAGTTTTTAACCCGAAAATGTAACCTAATAGGTGTTTTCCTATATGCGGACAAATCATGAACAAACTATTCTTGTAAATTGTATCTTAATTCCTATTTTCAATCTTGATTTTTTACGATTTTTTGTAATTTGATATAGCAAGCATACTGCTGTTACGCGTCCGATTTTCAAACTAAAAAGACCGAAAATTTTCAAAGTAGACAATATTGCATGAGCAGAAGGCAACTAACATGTATAATTCACATATATGCGGACAAATTGTTGATTCGGTTTAGGAATTTGCATATTTGCATTTTTATTTTAGGGGCATGTATAATCCTAAATTTTGTGTTTACCAAGGCCTACCCGTTAAGGAAAAACCTTAGATGTGGCATCGGTATCCTGGAAAACATGTCTTGGAAAGAAATACTTGTGATAGATTTTTTTTTTTAGACAATGTATATTTTCTTGCAATATCCATCTCTTATTGATGTTTAAGTTGAAATTTCAAAATAAAAAAAAGGAGATGTCCCAATGAGACAACTATCCACCAAAGTTCAAATGAAGTGGATGTAAGCAATTAAAGGAAACCGAAAGTCCTTCAACAATGAGAAAAAATCATATCATATAGTTGGCTATAAAAGACCCTGACATGAAATTCAATTGAGACAACTAACGGCCTAAATTATAACAAAACAATTAACGGAAAACAAATATTACAGACTTGAACCAAAGACAAACACTGAACTACAGGCTCCTGACTTGGGACATGCGGGGTTAAAAATTTTGAATGCGCCAACCCTCCCCTTAATCTGGAACAGTAGTGTATCGGCACAGCATAAGAACAGGTCCGGTCTGTGCAATTGTTAGATGCTTTTCCTGTATGTTGTGCCGTTTCACCATTTGACTAAAATTCTAGTGCTTATATCGAAACCCTTATTGCTTAAACGATATGCTAATCTCGAAATTGGATTTTCTCATTAACTCTTTTAGAAGTGTCTTAAAATCGACCTGATATAAAAAGTGAGTATAGGCTTCTTCTTTGTTACAAACATTACATAGTGTAAACAATATTTATGATGAAATTAAATACATCTTATACCATATAAATTCATAGTGTGGCAAATAGGATTCAGAAAGAAGCAACAAGTGCTTATATCAATCTGTCTCATTATTGAATTTGATACAATATGCAAAAATAAATCAAAACCACATGCTCTGTTACATAGACTTTCATTCGTCTGTTTCCATTTAAATAATATGCTCTCTCTCTCTCTCTCTCTCTCTCTCTCTGAATATACATATACAGAAGCGGTTCTACAGGTTTTGCACAGTTATAACCTAACACAGTTTTAGAAAGTTCTTATCTAGAATAAATTATGACAATTCTCTTCTAGAGCTATTTAGAACAAACCTAGAACTTTTTCTTACATTTCTATCCTAGAACTGATTCTGGTAGCTCTGTCGTCAGAACAGTTTGGGGCAGCTTGATCTAGTTATATAGTTATCAATTTACCTAATAAACTACTTTTATTTATTTATTCTTATCAATTTCATTTATTTATTCTTATCAATTTCATTTATTTATTCTTATCAATTTCATTTATTTATTTTCTCATTTCATACACTTTCTATCTATTTTGTCTCATTAAATTTTTCTGTTTTCCTTTTTTTTCTTTTTTCTTTTTTCTTTAGTCTTTTTTTCTCATTGTATCTATATAATTTCAATCAAAATATTAAGAACAACGTTGATACTTTTGATGATTAATTATTTAGATTTATTCAGTTATTAAAGTGCTTTTTTCTTGTTTGTTGTAGTTTTATTTAATTTTATTTTTTTTTCAATTTGTTATGAACTATTATTAACATTATTGCGTGCCATTTACATAGAGATTACTATACCACAAAGATATCATAACATAATATTGTAAACTCGGGTATACAAACCCTCCTCGAGAAATGAAGTGGTCACTGCGTAATCCCAATATTTTACCTGCGATAAAATACCGGAAAGTGCTCCTCGACCTGTATAATTGTCTTTCTAAAGTGAATATATCTCAGTCAGTGTAATCGATTATTTTTACGGAAACACAAAATGTATAGATTTCTGTTCTTCGTATTATTGCATACATCAACGAATAACAGTTTTACCCTGAAACATTTCTAGAGTTTAACTTTTCTAGAACTGATTAAAATAGTTCTTTGAAAGATCTTTGTGACAGTTCATCAGAGAGTTAGAAGTATTACATACCCACGACATTTTATCATTGTATAGATCAATACATAAAACCACCTGAATGATAATAGTGAGGGTTGTCCAAGTGATATGCAGTACCGTTCCCATAGCACGGGTTCAAATAGTCTGGTTCTGTGTATCCAGAATATGAGCTGTCTCGTTGTGCACATGATCTACGCTGTAATTCAGAATATCGGCCTCCATCGGTACATTCTGGGTTAGCGTTCAAATACGCAGTAGCACATCCATCCATTAACAGGTACGAAGTTTCTTCAAGTGATACTGTTGAGCTGGATCTTCTATCTTGCAAGCTTTTGTGGCAATGTTTTTTTACGATGTCGTCAAGCAAGCGTCCAGCTTCTTTATTTGTCGAGCGAGTCTGTTTTGAGAATGGAATTCCAGTCATACAATAACTAACAAAATGTTCACAATTGAAACTTTTTAAGTGGTAATTGTTTGGAAGACCTTCATCAAAAAATATCCTAGCAACTTCTACTGGATCGAGACCGTCTTTCCTATATGAATTGTAGTAATATTTATACATTTTTGTGCATTTATCGAAATCAATCGCTGTTTCAAACACACTACCCTTAGGACACGAAGAAGAAGAAGCTAACATACAATCTATACTATCTCCTGAAAGTTCTATTACTTTAAATCTTTTCCTCTCTGTGTTAACAGCGGAAACGAGTGCATGGTGTTTGTATAATCCAGCTTTCCTCTTAAAACATATAGCATCTCCTGATTTTACACTAGTCAGGCTATTCACTTTGACTTTCCATCTTTGAGCTATAAAACAATCACTGTGCTATAATAATTGTCTATCAGTTTTCCACAAAAAAAACCCAGAATACTTGAAATTTAGATCAAACAAAAACAATATTAAGAAACAAACATTTTTCGCAAAGTTGGACAAAGATTTGTACTATAGTTTGTCTTATTAAGATCTATTGTTTCGATATAATACATAATTAATGACTTTGCTTGAATTTGTGCGATGAATTTGATTTAACCATGTGTAATTTGCTATATACCGAGATTATCAGTTTTTTTTGGTGTTAATTCACCTATGTAAATAATAGCACGTGTAGTTTACATACTGTGAATTTTTGCATTTTCGTAGATATTTGATTTCTTAGTTTTGTCAAAGTCTGCATACAAGCCTATAGAAAATTTGCAATTCGTTGAACATTTAAATTCATGGTTTATCTGTACCAAAGAAATCCACGAAAATTGGTACTCAACGACATTTTTACCTATTATGCCTGTGTGTTTTGTTCACACATTGTTGTCAATATAATGGAATTTTATGCGAGTGTCATACAAGTGAGAGATTAAGCTAGCTATAAACCAAGTTTTATCCACCATTTTCTACATAAGGAAATGGCTGTACCAAGTCATTAATATGACAAACGTTTGATGTGTTTGAGCTTTTAAAGGGACTTTCCGTTTTGAATTTTCCTTGGAGTTCGGTATTTTGGTTATTTTACTTTTCGTTATTATTCGTTGGGTACCAATTTTCGTGGATTTCGTGGGTACAGATAAACCATGAATTTAAATGTTCAACGAATTGCAAATTTTCAATAGGCTTGTATGCAGACTTTGGCAAAACCACGAAATAAATGAATCCACAGTAGGTGAACAAAACTAAATGGTGTGTTTGAAACGAAAATAATTGGAATGAAAAATATTTTTTTCCAATTTGCTGAAGCAACAAAAGAACACCATTAAATTGCAGGATAAGAACAATATGAGTTCGATGTTTTAATGCAGCTGCCATGTTTGTATTCTGCTCGAAATCGGAAAATGCTCGTTAAAGCTAGCATTTCAATTTTTCTGAGCATTGTGATAACACAACTGATAATTTAAGACATAAATAGCATATAAATATATCTTTTTGGGCAATACAGTTTACAATACAACCTGTGACATTCTCTGAATAATGGTCATCATCTGCTATGTTCAACATCAAATGGTGACCATTTATTAGGGGTCATAAAACCTGGGATGTTGGCAATTTATTGGGGTCATAAACCATGGGCTGGTGGTCAGTCTAATTAGGTTACCTGGAGAGATGCACTGATTTGATCTATTGATTAAAAATGGTGTGTAAATGACATCCTGCACAGGTAAATTGTTCTTGTCCCATTTCAATTACTTACATGTGAATAAGTTTTGTTTAAAGATTAAAATAAATGTTTTAATTTATTTATTTGCAAAGTTTAGAAATCATCTACATGTATAGGTAACAATGTAATATTCTTTTTTATTTTCGCATATGTGATACTAATATATCATTCTGTTCTTTTATGGGATGCAAATTAATTCCCTTTCTCAAGCAGTGTCACGTATTTATATTGTAAAAATTTTATTTGAATCTTTTCATAATGCTTATGACAAAGGAAGTGTATGTTTTTATTACTTTAAAATTTTTACAATTTGTATACAAAAATTTTTCTAAAAATATAATAATGATTAATTAATAAACATTAAAACTATCGGTCAATATGGTTTATATAAAGTTTTTACTTGACTGGCTTCATGGTGTTAAGAAATATATTTAAACAGACAGAAAGCCACAAAGTAGATAAGATAAAAAGTCAAAGATAAGTTATTGACTAGCACTTGAAAACAAAACAGGGAATTCTTGAAGTAATATATATTTTTTAAGAAAAAAAAAGTTATTGTACATCATGTACATTGTTGTCAATTGTTCATTTGCATTATTAAATTGATATAAATTAAAAATTATTATTAACTTCCTATCATGCAAATGATATGTTTATAGGCACCCTGAAGCCAATAATTTAACAAGTCTGCTTTCTATGTAATAAAATGATCATTATCAATTCTTTTACAAAAAAATTTGATTACAAAGGTGTACAATGCATTATTATTCAGGAAAACTACAAATATGATTTTGGAAAAAACAATTTTTGTTTTTCAATTTTTTTCAAATCTCAAAACTAGAGTTGTGCTGTAGCATCACTGAAGAGAATAATTTTCCAAATGCCCATCTGGTGCAGATAAGTTAGTACCATACGTTTTGTTCAGTAACGTTATGTCCTACATTCAGAATATACTAGTAAATCATCAAAATTTGATAAATCTTCATTAAAAATGCTAAATACCAATTTCCTGATTTCTGAATGAAAAGGAATTATTTCAAAAAAATTGTCTTAATGTTGATTGAAACAATTCTAAAATAATCAAATACGAAATCTTGAGTGTGGCTAATTTCTGTCAGATAGCAGCCACAATTTTCTCCAGGAAAAATAAAGTACACATCTATTGACATTTTCATGGACTATCAAATTAAAACATTTTTTGTTTTGTGTATTTAATTATTCTCATTTATCATCAATGATGTTCTGATTCTAAACTAGATATCAACTTTTCGGCCCCTTGCTCACTAATTTCCTAATTTTTGTCCTTTTAATAACATACAATTAAGGATTATTAAAATATCTATTTAATGAAATTATTTATTTGATTATCCTGAATTATATAACAAGCAATTTCAATTTAAAAAAAAAAAATGATATTATACATGTTATATGTATGGATATATTTTCTGATAATACATATAAATATAAGGAGATGTGGTATGATTGCCAATGAGACAACTATCCACCAAATTTCAAAAGAAGTGGATGTACATCATTTGTACATGTGCAAGTTATAAAATACAAAAATCTTGAACCTGAACTCTGAATTCTGAAAAAATAAATCCTTTACTTACAAGAAGCTTTTAAATTGTCAAAACTGCTGGACTTGCATAGTACATATTCTTGACATATTAATGCCAAGAATATCTAATAAAGAAAAAAAAAAGAATGTTTTGAAATGTCAATAGAGAAAGAACGAATTGCCTAAATTTTATTTAAATAAAGTCCTAAAATAAACTAAAACATGTGTTAATCAATGTTGAATGGAGATCAGTATCTTTAAATCTTTGATTTTAGAAATAAAAATTGAGAAACACTTTTTCAATATAAAAAGGCAGACATTAGATCCATAGAAATGGTTGACTGTGCAAGTGTGCAATATATATATATATATTGTAATGCCGGCCTTCCCCCCTTTTTATTGAAAATTTATAGAACATTTATAGTATAGTTTCTTGAAATTATTGAGGATAAACGATAGATGTTAGTGAGATGTCTAATGTTGCAAGTAATGTCAGACTTGTAATTTGTTATTTTGGCTGTTGTTTCAATGATACGACAGATTTGTGTATGTTAGTTTGTTAAGAAGTTTTATTTCACCTACTGATTCCATATTTTCGCGGTAGTTACCTTATTAGAATATAAACTCAAATAAAACTCTTCTAATGATCTACTAATGTATTTAAAGTCAAACCCCATCTTTATTGATGAAGATCAATCCATGTTTACAAATAATATCAACATTACGGGAATTTCCATTGTGTGATCCATGGTTGCCGATTGGTAAACAATATGTAACAAGCTCTGCCATTGGTCAGTCGAAAGTATAAAAGCAAAAGCAACAACAGAACCGAAGGATTGTTGGGTTGGCAAAGTTGGAAAGTAACAAATTTGAATAGAAGCTAAAATGTGTCTGATAATCACAACCAAGCGTTGAAAGTTAACTTTGTTTTTATTGAAGGTTGTCGGTGTCGGTGCTAAATCGGGTTGCCGGTGACGGTGCTAAATCGGGTTGTCGGTGACGGTGCTAAATACGGTTGCCGGTGACGGTGCTAAATACGTTTGCCGGTGACGGTGCTAATTATAATGTAGTTGTAAAGACGGTGCAAATTAAGTTTGTCGGTAACGGTGCTAATGTTGTTACTGGTTGTGTATAAGTTGTTTTTGGCGGTAATAAATTATTTTGATGGTACCGGTGCTAATATAGTTTTTGACGGTGCAAATTAAGTGTATATGTGTAGGTGACAGTGCTAAGGTGTTTATATTGACGGTTCTAAAGTAATTAATATGTTGTTGGTTTTATTATGCTGAGTTGATGTTGTATAATATGGAATGGTAGTAATATCCTTAAATTGGGATTATTGAAAGATTCTAAATAAGTGACAACCTTGTTACTTGACTGTTGAATTATTTACTAGTTTTGTTTGTCTATGTAAGACCAACCATTACCGGGGACCTGACCAGACCAGTGACAGAGCCTGCAAGACCCATTCTCTCCGTCGTGGATTATTTTTGATATTAATAAAATATGAAACTTTATTTTATCCAGATATTTTATTTCACAACTAAGAATATATATATAAACACAAATATACGATTTCCCTTTCTGTAACGTGTTTTGGTCCGACGGTAAACAGTGGACGTCGAACCTTACACTTTATAGATCATTGTACTCTCTTTTTCTTTGTGACCCTGTGTTCTCTGGTGGCCGACTCTAGCACCAGGGAGGCACCGTTTCAATATTACAAGATGAGATTCAAATATTCTTCTTTTGCCAAAAAATACATGTAAGAAATAACTTAAATTGAGGGAATTATTTAAAAGGTATAACAGCAAAACCAATAATGATGGCAGTATAAGCTACATATAAAAACTGAGGTCATAAGAAATTTTTTTCTAAAAATAATATTAAGCTACATATGTTCAGCTAGTTTTATTATTTTATTTTTTAATTTTCTTGTCATTATCACTGTAATTAAATTTGACAAACACATATTGTTTACCAGAGACATATTATATACATGTACATTTACAATGTACCTGAGACACTTTACCTGTAAGCTATTTAATTTTATCACTTAAATGCAACCATGATTTCCCTTTACCCTTGACTAGTTTTTGAGTGATACCTTGTGTATTAATTAAGCAATAGGGGTATAATGATGAACATATAGGGCCATCATAGTGGACATAGTTTTTATGGCCACCTTTAATCAGAGAATGTCACAGGTAGAACTGTACATTAAATAGGTGATATACGATACTTTTCAAAGTTCTATTACAATAATTAACAAAACATAGAACTGATAGTTGCATGTGACGTTCACGAAAGAGTGGTAGCGACAAATTGCTTTCCCTTTTACTTCTCAGTTCTAACTTGACATTGTTCAGTTCGAACCTGACATTTTTCACTTCGAACCTGACTTTTAACAATTCGAATTGGACCTCACTAACTTTAAAGTTGACATATCTCGCTTCCAATTTGAAATTATTTCCAACATAAATACGAATTAATTGCGATGTAAAAACAGTTTTTATGACTCTAACAGATTATCATAAAGTATTGTGTCCTTCGAAAATATAGTCTTCCACAAACCACAATTCTCTATTTATAGATTATCATTAAAATGAAAAAAAAAGTACATTCATGAAAGTACAGACATTCAAACTGGTGTGAAAATATATAACTATGCAAAGCCATGCCCAGAACAGATCATTTCAATTGGTTTGTTGGTGGACTATCGGTGACCGCTTAATTAACGGCAAGACTTTTCTTATCTGTCAATCAAATTTGAACTTTAGTAAAGTTCGGAAACTTTTAATCGTCGAATGGTACAGAGGACATAAACGGGACGCTTTGATGTCCATAATCGCTGAAAATCAAGGTATACTTTCCAGGGTTTCTGCTGAATCATCTTGATATTTCAATTGTCATTACATTTGTTCCATATATAAAAATAAGGAGATATGGCATGATTGCCAATAAGACAACTATCCACCAAAGTTCAAATCAATTAAAGGCAACCATACAGCCTTCAACAATGAGAAAAACCCATACCGTATATTCGGCTATAAAAGGCCCCAACATTAAAAATATGAAACATTTCAATTGAGAAAACTAACGGCCTAATTTATAACAAAACAATTTACGAAAAACATATATGATAGACATGAACCAACGACAACCACTGCATATCGGTAAACTACTGTTGCCTTTATTTAGTAGGATCAACCTCACGATTCTATAAATCGATATCTTCATTTCTCTTTCAGCCATTCTGGATTTTTGAAATCGCACAGGAGTCGAATGACTATTTGTTACATGGTGACCTATTTTTTGGATATTATCATAATTTTCTAAATTATAACTAAAGCATAGAAAATGACAATAAATGTCATCAAAAGTCAATATCTCCTACAAGAAGTCGACTGACAGTTTCAGTTATATGATCTTACTATGCTCATCATTTTGCTTTTTCCAATTTTTTATAGTTTACCGCAAAGAACACAACAAGGGGAAACAATCATTGAAAGGAAAACTCCCCTCAGGATTTGACTGTCAATTTACGACATGCTGATGTACTTGCATATTATAAGAACAGAGTGGGAAAGTATTTATATTATATTTTTATAAGTATTTAATATTTATATTTATATACCCTACAATTTCAATGTCTACTTATGTCTACGAATTTTTTACACTATGAAATTTGTTTATTGGGTTAAGAAACTCGTTTTCCAATATGACGTTTAAAACATTACGTTGTAATGATAGTTTAACACCGCTTTCACTGTTCATAAACTTCAGATGTCTAGTTTCTGTTCCTTACCTCTCCAAATTAGTAAATCCTGAATGGGTTATGACAAGACTGCTAATGAACTGTCTGAACCTTAATTGATTTTCCGTCATGAAATATGAAAAAAACTTCTTAACAAGAATTAACACTGTTTGATATATGTTAATGCTAGTATTCCTCCCTCCCAAACTGTCTCACTCCTAGCATTCCCAATAGTATTTAAATAAAATATTTACACCATCAATACATCGAACTTTTATAAAAGTTGAAAAAAAATGAAAATAAACATTGTTAACGCGCTTATAACATAAATTCTAATTAAATGTTCATGACATACATGTAAAATATAAACATCAGTGAAAATGTACGGGTCTGAAAATCAGCATCAATCACTTATTTTAGGGAGTAATGTCCCTTGAACATGTTGAGAATATGAGAATACTCTTTTTAAAGGTTTTTTTGGATATAATATCCTTTTGAAATTGAGATTAAATTGAAAATCGACATTATAAGCGCTCGCGAACGCCGGGTATTTTTTGGAGAAGGTTTTAGAATTTTGTTGTTTTCAATGTTCGTCGTTTTATTTGCCTTCTAGATGATTAGATACGAACGTCATTAATGTCGGTAACATCTCGAAATGTTTTGAAGGTAAAAAAGTCTTACAAATTATTTGTGAAACATACACTGCAACACAGTTTTAATAATTGTTTGTTATATTCCCTATTAAAATCGATATAATTTACTGCCGCCCATGGTTTACAGGGACGTGCTATTTTCCCCATAATAATGATAGTGGGTTTAAATTTTGTAGTTCTGAATATCATCGATTTTTTCAATTTTATTTTCCATATCATTTTCTGTTTTAACAGTTTTTATCAACCATTTGCAAATAGTTCTTACCTTTAATTTCTTCGATATCTCCTTTGGAACTAGAAATATCTATAAACATGAAATGATTATCATTCGCACAAACAAATATTAAAAAAAATTATGAAAAGAGTGTTTTTCACAGATTGCTGTTCCGAAAAAAAAAACAATTCCCAGTTTTCCCTCAATGTAATAATATAATACTGTAGTGACATACACATTTCAAAACTCATCTAATAAAAAATTTTGTAGAAACAGAAGCATCATTTACAAAGGATGAAATTTTACAAAATCACAAATCTGTCCTTCTTTCATTTTGTATTAACATCAAAGAAAACGAAGAAAATCTACCGTCATTATACTGGATACCAAAACTTCACAAAACTACGTATAAAGAACGATACATAGCTAGATCATCAAGATGTTCGACTATACATCTTTCAAAAGTGCTGACTACTATGCTTTCTACAGTAAAAGATGGCCTTCCAAATTTTTGTGTTGAGATATATTCAACCAGTGGTGTCAATCAGATGTGGATTCTCAAAAATTCTAAAGATCTACTGCTAAATCTTAGATCACAATCTCTACAATTTTGCAGCAACATTAAGACCTTTGATTTTTCTACGCTTTATACTACTATTCCCCATGTTCAATTGAAAGATCGACTTCACCATCTCATTAAACAGAGCTTTTTCTATAAAAATTGGAATCGTATATATAAATTACTTGTTATGGGTTATAGTAATTCTTATTTTGTGAAGAACCAACAGACAGTCGGTATTCCAATGGGTACTTATTGTGCACCTCTTCTGGCCGACTTGATTCTGTACTCGTATGAAGCAGAATTAATTCAGAACCTTCTAAAAGACAAAAAGAAAAAGCACCTTTCAAAATTCTTTAATTTTACTTTCAGATATATCAATGATGTCCTATCACTGAATAACCCATATTTCAGTCAGTACTTGCATTTCATATATCCCAGTGAACTTAAAACAAAGGATACTACTGATACAAGAAGGACTGCTTCATACCTTGATCTTTTCCTTAATATTGACACAAATGGACGATTTCACACTAAAATCTATGACAAACGGGATGATTTCAACTTCCCAATTATCAATTTCCCATTTTTCAGCAGTAACATACCCTCTGCTTCGTCGTATGGTGTTTACATATCTCAATTGATACGTTATGCTCGTGCATGTTCACACTATACTGACTTCATATACAGGAGTGTGCTCCTTACGCAGAAACTGCTCCAACAGAGTTATGAGGAGGAAAGATTAAAAATGACACTCCGTAAATTTTATGGACACCATCACGAATTGGTTGATATATATGATGTGTCTGTGTCTAAACTAACTAATGACATTTTACCACGTCTTAGATTGTGGTTTAATATCTATGTCGTATGTCTGCTAAGTACCGAACGTGACCTATAACCGAATATGACTGTTATACCGAGTGTGAATTTGCATTGCTATACGACGTGTCTCGGTATTTTGTACATCCAACATTCATGTATTTACTTTTGATGTTTCTGTCATGGTTTCGGTTGGAAAATGTGTTATGTCTTATCGTTTGCAGTCCAAATAATTATAAAATTGCCTTTCAATACCATCATTGTCATGAAAATTGTTTGGACTGGTATTGTGAAAATAATTGTATAAAGTTCGAGATTACATGTTCGTTACGTAAGTGCGTCATTGTTTGTGATGTCCTGTGGTGTCTGTCTTTGATGGAAGATGTTCGTTGTTGTTCTGCGGTTTGCATGTTGTGTCGACTATTATATTATTTGTTTGTGTGTTTTTCTGTGATGAGTGTTCTTGCGTGTTTTAAACCTGTATTTCTGTCACGTAGTGTTGTCATTTTAGCGATATTTTCTAACATTGTCATATAAGCGGGAGGTTTGGCTAGCAATAAAACCAGGTTCAACCCACATTTTTTTCTTAAAATGTCCTGTACCAAGTCAGGAATATGGCAGTTGTTATCAAATAGTTCGTTTCTATGTATGTATGTGTTTGTTTTGTTGCACTTCAGTGTTCCTGTTGTCCCTTTGTTTTCCTCTTATAGTTGATGTGTTTCCCTCGGTTTTTAGTTTGTAACCCTGATTTGTTTTCTCTCAATCGATTTATGACTTTTGAACACCGGTATACTACTGTTGCCTTTATTTACAGTTCTAGTTTGTGATAGTATGTTCCATTTTAAAACTCAGGGTAAACCATGGCCAACCGAAATTTGACGACGTTTTGTACACAATATTATCAAACATTGTAAATTTTTGAATGCTTTTGTCCCATACATTACTTAAAGCTTTGTTTTTATTTGTACACTTTCCTAAATGGCCTGAAACAATTTATGATACTTAGTTGCTTACTAGTATTTAGATCATTTCATTTTCGGAAAAGTACTTCCTCCTTCATCTAGGCTCTCACGAGTAAATGTTGTTAAAAAAGTCATGCTTATAGTAAAATCTACTGGCTGCTATAAATAACATTATATTCCTTGCACACGGTTAAACATTGATGGCCTTATGCTTTTTATTTTGCGTAATAAATGGAATCGACTGTTGAAAGAATTTCTGTTTTACCTAAATAAATTCAATCTTTAAAAAAAAACAACAATGAACTCTATCTTATGGCATTAAATGTTGTTGTTTATTTATTATTTTTTTTGTTTCTTTTGTTTCATAAAAAAGAATGTTCAACATAGAGACAAAAACCTGGTTTAGGGGATTATACTTAAATTATACTTTGTAAAAAAAAAAAAAAAACCCACTCTGATTCAAACAAAAAATTTCTCGGAAACTGACATTATCAAGATGCTTGATTTCTTGATTGAAAGCAAGTGTGATCTTCTTCTTGTCGATTTGACCCTTTTTCATATTAGGCAGACATCGTTCAGGAGGTTCTAAGAAAGAATGAAAAGAAGCTAGCAATATCCTTTAACTTCACGTTCCGCTTTACAGATGATGTCCTATAACTAGATAATTCAAAGTTTGTTAACTTTGTTAAACACGGAAATTAACGATGCACCAGATTCAGTTAAATCTGCCTCATATCTTGACTTACATATAGAAATTGACAATGAAGGTCGTTTTAGAACAAAGCTGTTTGATAAAAGAGATAAATTAAACTTCCCAAATAAATTTCTATGTAGCAACATTCCAGCACCACCTGCATATGGAGTATTTATCTCCTGCCTTCCTTTTTTTCAAAAATTCTACATAAACAATTTACAAATGGTATTTACCTGTCAATGATGTAGAATCTTCTGTAAAATCTATTCAAAACAAAACAAATGATAATTCCTACATGCACAATACATGTTAAAAAATAAATGAATAAAAAAATACATTTTGTAGCAGAGTGAAAAAAGGAAGTATTTATTTTACAAAGGTTTGCACAAAAAATTGTTTTGACATTGTTTTTCCCAAGTTCATCAAAATGACAGAAAATAAGGAATTATACTTATAAAGCAATTTCTGAAATCATCAAACACAATATGATTCATCCTATCCTTTTGCTAGAAAATTATTTGAAAAATTTATTGTACAGCAAAGCAAATGTCCATTTCGCTTTTTTAAAGTTAAAAGTCCAATATCTTTATAAGGATTAAGAAAAAAAATCGTCCAAATATTAAAAATGTGCATGAAAATAACTGAAATCGGCTGAGGCAATTTTGACTCACGACAAAGATCTTTAAATAAAGGCGCTTTAAACTGTTTCTGTATTGTCCCTAGTATATATTCGGGGTTTAACATATTTTATTTGCTAAATTAAAGCAAAATGGATTAGACACAAGTAAATCATATTTATGAAGTCTTCTTCATAATACAATATAAATATATACAATAATAGTATAATAATAAAATTGAGAATGAAAACGGGGAATGTGTCAAAGAGAAAACAACCCGACCAAAGAGCAGAAAACAGCCCAAGGCCATCAGTGGGTCTTCAACACAGCAGGAAAATTCCGCTCCCGGAGGCAGACTTCAGCTGGCCCCTAAATAAAAATGCGTACCAGAGAAAATGGACGTCACACTAAACTCCAAAACATATAAATGAACCAAAGTAAAAAAAAACATACAAGACTAACAATGACCAGAGGTTCCTGACTTGGGACAGGCACAAAAATGCGGCGGGGTTAAACATGTTTTGTGAGATCTCAACCCTCCCCTATACCTCTAGCCAATGTAGAATAAACAAACACATAGCAATACGAACAGTAAAATTCAGTTTATAGGAAGTCCGAGTCTGATATAAGAATAAGTAACAGAAGAAACTAAGGAAAATGACAAGGATAACATAAATTAACAAAGGACTACTAGCAGTTACTGACATGCCAGCTCCAGACCTCAATTAAACTGATTGAAAGAGTATGTCTTCATCATATGAAAATCAAGCACAATACCTCCAGTATGGGGTTTAGTATCATACCATCATAAAATAAAGGGGAAGAACATAACCCGTATCATGCCAACAACTGGTTTTAGAATAAATGTGTGGTTAGCTTTTGAGGTGAATGACGACATTTTTGTGCTTTGTATAGAATATTACCATAAAAGATTGGATATGAAATACTTGAACGTATAAGATGTCTACACGTTGATTTATTTTTACGAATAATGACCTTGTACCGATAATAAACATAAGTAAATGTTTTGACAAGTTTGTGATATCGAAAACCCTGGTGTAATAATTTTCTGTAATACAGCGATTTCTTTCGATAAAATCAAATACGTTGTTACATACACGAGCGAATCGAACAAGTTGAGATATATAAACACCATAAGGTCACCTTTTAAAAATTGATAATTAACAATAGGAAATGAAAAATCATCTCTTTTATCATAAATTTGGTATTAAGCTTCCCGTTAAAGATATAGGTATCAAGATCCAGGAAAGGGCAGTGTTCATTGTTAGTATTAGCTTTATTAAAAGTCAGTTCAGCAGGATGACTTTCTTTAGTGTACATACTGAAGTCATCATTATTGAGAGCCAATATATCTTAAAATAAGTGTTATTAAATTTTTGTATCAGATGTTGTTTCGATTGGTCTTTGCTGATTTTAGTCATAAATTGTAACTCATTACAATACAGAAACAGGTCCGCAATAAATGACAGTTAGTTAAACAGAGCTATAAATTATAGACTTACAATACAATGTTTTGAACTATTTATTTATAAAATCTATTTATGATAGAAGTTTTCATGTCAAAGTTATACCTACTAAAGCAGTGACTCATATTATAGTAAGTCATTTTTTTGTTTGAAATGAATGACAAAGACATCAACTAACTGGAGCTGGATGGTAAGTATGTCTTTTTATTTCACAACACTCACTTCATACTAACAATCTTACACTTGAGCAAATTGTTAAAACATTTTACCAGTTGATCAGTTTGTGAGAGAAGAATTCAAACTGCAATTTGGTAAACTGTTTTAGCCATTGCTATTGTGATACCCCAAAGGTTACTGGATAAGCACAGTAAAAGAATACGTTTATCAATTGAGTGTAATATTGTACACATAAGTTTATTAGGTCGCATTTTTGTTACCTTATGTAAGAATCCTGGGTTTTGATTGGTTGATAGCCAGTGTATTTTTCACCAATTTACTGTTATCAAATGAATATCGTTCATTTTTTAACGCCGCCGGGGTATATGCAAAAAGGATATGCCTTTTTTACCCTCTCTGCCGTGGTATTTGCCAAAAATACTCTATCCGACTGGACGCTTGTAACGTCACGATTATCAATTGCGTTTTTGAACGTTAACATTCGGTGTAATTAAACAGATATAGCATGTTCTTGAGGGGTATTTGCGAAAAATACCAGTCTTGAGAATGAATTTCCCTCGCCTTACGGCTCGCGAAATTAAACATTCTCTCGACTGGTATTTTTCGCAAATACCCCTCCTTAACATGATATATCTGTTCAAAATAAACTTACAAGATAGTTCGGCATAAGCACATTCATCGTTGGTTGTGTGATCTGGTAGCAACCCTGTAATTACAACAAACGTCAGTACTTGATGTATTTTTATACATTTTAAATTATCGATAGAGTATATAACTATATTAACAATTGACACATAATCAGTCCTTACTGTCACTGAAGTTCCTACTCTCCACCTGCTGTTTGATAACATGTTACAAATTTTCATTTTTTACAAACTTATATTTCATCATGTATTAGAGTTAGATAATTTGCAAAGATGGTACCGTCTTGGGAACATTTACCAATCCGCTATTATGTGACATCCAATCACCAAATAAAATTCACCAACGGTTTAAAAAGCAGAAAAAATTCGAGTGCTACTGCAGGTGTACTCTCATTCCGGTGTGTAGAACTTCAGGTACATGAAATGAGTTGCTTACGTCTACGACATTTAGTCACTGATGGAGAGTTGTATCATTATCAATCATACCACGTCTTCTTTTGTTTATATAACGTATACTGTTTTCATACCAGTGTGTTTATAGAAAAAAATATATCAGGGAAATTTTAAACTATTTTTTTGTTTTAAAAAAAAAAAAGACTGCCTTACCAGAAGAATCACTGTTACATTGCTAGTGGAACAGGAACTGTGTCTCTTCTTGAGGACCCAAGTACTGATATTTTTGTTGGTTTTTTTTGTTCAATCCACAGTTTTTTTGTGTAGTGTTTTCTTAATTATTTAGTTTTGTACAACCGGTGTCTTTTATGACACCTTGGTATATCTTCTCCATTTTGTTCTTCAGCTCTATTTTGTGTTTACCACAAGACAAACTGTATTGATGATTGGGAATAGTGCATGTAGAATTAGAGATCGTCCACGGTAAAAAGGGAATATATTTTGTACCTTATTGTAAAACGAAGAACACTTATTGCAAAATACTGATTTGTATCGTCCTCAGTGATTTATGGGATTTGAACATCGGTAAATAACTTGAATGCCTTAAATTTATCTTAAATCTATCATGGAAACTCAGTAATTTTCGAAAACTAATTCTTATTGGCCGAGAAAAAATAGCGGCGTTACAGCATGTTCTATACACAATAACATAATGCATTGTTTTGTGAAGGCTGTTATCACGTGCCTTACTTAATAATTCTATCATTCGTTCTTGTCAAAACTGAAACACCGGTCAGGTCAAACCAAATTCTTGAAAATTGGTATTTTTGTTGCTTCGCCGCTCAACAGGCGGCATTTAGGGTAAAACATAAAACTGGTAGACCCGGAATCAGAATGATGTGGACGGGTAGGCTTGTGGAACAACTTGTGAACTACCACGTTTAACATCCTGTTATATGTCTTGTACAAGGAAGGGTTCTTCACGATGATACAACGTCTGACATCCCGTAGTTTGCTAAGATAATTTAATGAGGGGATCATACAATTGCCGAAATGCAACTTTTCCCCTCAGCTTGGCTCTCACGAATAAATATTGTCCACAAAATGTGATGTCCATTCTAAAATTCTAAAATTCACAAATTTACATGAAACTGCTATATATTTCATGTCATTTCTTGAGAACGATAAAAAAATGATTGCATTAGTTTTACACGTTTGTGTTACGAATGGACTGTTGAAAGATCTTTTGTTTTATCTAATAAAATTTAAACTCTTTTTTGAGGTATTTGATTTTGTTTCTTTTGTTTGATTTTTTATTTCTTTCAAGCATTGTTGATAAACAATTTCTAAATGATTTGTACCTGTCAATGATGTTGAATCTTCTGTCAAAATATCTGTTAAAACAAAACAACTAACAATTGTTATGCGCACAAGACATGTTTAAAATAGATCGATAGATAAATACATTTTAAAGAAAAAATGAATTAAAAAAGGAAGTAATCATTTTTCAAAGAAAGTCACTTCTTGCAACCTATATACAAGGAACTTGTGAAAAGTTCATCTAAGATCAGATATCAGATGACAGAGGTAAGTTGACACCTGCCACGTCCGGTCTGTGTTTATGTTTGATGTTTTTCTGCTTTGTATCGATCTGATGAGTTAAGCCTTTTTGAACAGATTTTTATAGTTTGTTCTTTTGTTGAGCCTTTACACCACTGTCCAAGGCAAGGGGGAGAGTTGAGCGCTCACAAACCTGTTTAACCCCGCCACATTCTTAATGTGCCTGTCCCAAGTCAGGAGCATGTAGGTCAGTGTTTGTCGTTGGTTCATGTTTGTCATATTTGTTTTTCGTAAATTGTTTTGTTATAAATTAAGACGTTAGTTTTCTCAATTGAATTGTTTTCATGTCGGGGCCTTTTACAGCCGACTATACGGTATGGGTTTTTCTCGTTGTTAAAGGCCGTACAGTTGCCATTTATTGCTTACATCCTAACATCCACTTCATTTGAACTTTGGTAGATAGTTGTCTCATTGGCAATCATACTTTCTCTCCTTATTTTTTTTATTTGATAAACTTGAGATTGCGTTTAATAGGTCGGGTGCAAACGGTGTTCCAATACTTTTTATTTCGCATGCAATATTCCAATTTCCTGGCATGTTATTTTTAAATCCTTTGCCACAAAGACTTAGTTCATGTCCGAAAAAAACTCTTCACAAGATTTTTACTTGTCATTGGACACACGACGGGTCCAATTTATTTACTCATCCATAGCTCTTGAAATCATCCTAGATATTCAAGGTTGGATTACTGTTGCTCACATGCTAGTTTTCTGTGTAGAGTTCTGAGGAACAAAGTAACTATGTTCTTTAAAAATTTATCTGTTAATGTTATCTATAATACGAATTCCAAAACATGGTAAAAATAAAACGGTTCATGATCTAAAAAGGCAAAGGGCAGCTGTAAATGCACGTACAACTTGTTTAACTTAACTACACTTTGGGCCGGTATCAAATCACGCTATTCGAACCTTGTGCTGTTCGTTGTTGTTTTTATTTGTTTGTTAGTTACAGAGGTTAGTTGGTGGTTAATGTGGACTGTTTAACAGTCCAATAGTTTTTTTGTATTAATTCATGTTATCATGATGCGTTTTACAATACTATTTTTTATAAAAACCTTTGTCTTTATTCCAATAGTCCACTATCAATTTTTGTAAGGAATACAGTTTTTTCCTTAGGAGACCTGAATGTAATTAGGCCCTGTCATATGTTTTCAGAATATACATATTTTCTTGCTTTTTTACTGATACGACGTCATAGAAAAAACTTATAATAGCATTAACGGCCATTTTTTTTAATTGCACCAGATAAATAATGTCGATTTAGTGATGCTCGATTCCAAATTATTTAAAACTCCATAACCCTATATAAATGTTAAAGAGCTGGTAAAACCAAAAAGGCTCAAAGGTAAACCCAAACATAAGAGCTATGCGTAAGGGAGGTATATTCCTTGATTTAAAATGATGGAATAAACACAGTGACATTTGCTTGTACATTATCGTTTAGTTTGATAATTAATTCTTTTCATTTGATTAGTTATCCTTGTCTAATTAGTAAAAATTAGAATTCTGATTCGTACTGGATTTTAATTGATATAAATCACACTTCCATTTTCTGCTAGTAGATATTTGAATTTCAAATTGTACTAGGATGATTCCCGATCCTACTGAATTCCATCTTGTACTGTAACAAAAACCGTCAATAAGACAGCAACTCAACGACATAGAAAGCCCAAATTCTATATTTTAACTAGTATACATTGGATTTAATGAAAAAGAACAATGAACTGTGCAATAGCTAGTAAATAATGCAAACTTGATGGTTACAAGGGTAAACAATTGCACACTACTATTTGTAGTCGGTAACTACCATTTTTTATGGGAAAATGTAAAAAAATCTGTTGGAAATTGCTACGAATCGGCAGATTACTTTATGAATAAATGTTTTTTTTAGATCTTGACGTCGACCATTAAATTCCGTTCACGGTGAAATACAAAAATACCTTTATTTAATATAGTCAGTCAAAATCCCTTGACAGAATGTTTTCAATCAGTCGTCTATACTTGATAAATATGTAGTAAACCAATTTTAGCCCAAAAGCTTGCAAATATCGTGGCTAGTCACATATCTTGTTTTATATGTCCTATTCCCGACTGTGAAATTTTGACAAAGAGGGGATTCGTATGGCGGATGATGCATGTGTTACAGAAAAAACTTACCCTGTATACGCACCCAACTTGCTCTTTTGTGATTTTATTTGTTACATTGATTTGTTTGATCGAGCGATTTATGAGATTTGAAAATCGGATTACTCTGTTCCACTATATAGATATGTCACACAATAATTCAAAGTTAGGTGACTATGTAGAACGAATATAGCCCATCGGACTTGAAATAATGAATATCATAGATAAAGTAAAATCAAGTTTAAGTTTTAAGTACACATGTATTTGCATGTACTGTTCTTGACGGTTCGTTTTCTAACAGTTTTTAATATCCGGTTTTTGTTAGGATTTTATATTTTTATGTTGTTGCGCTCAAAATAAAAATACTAGTATACTTATAAAAAAATTATGTTTTTGTTTTATGGATGACAAATTTTTTTTAATATTGCTATACAAAGTCAATATTGAATTTTTTATAAGTTTTATATTTTTAATTGTAAATTTATCTACTGATTGGTCGATTAAACATATAGTGTTCAGTCGCATTGTTGCGTAAACAAACTTACTGGATAGTTCGTCGTACGTGGATTCATAGTCAGTGTCGTAATCTGGTAACAACCCTGTAAGTACAACAAAATAAAATTTACACTTGATATATTATTATCATTTTAATATATCGATAGAATACGGAATTTTAATTAACAATTTATATATTATGCCTACCTACTTAATGAGGTCATAACCTGTTCTTGCTGTGGTTCATGGTTCTCAGTCTTTAATTTTTTGTTGTGTTTTGTATACTCACTGTTCTTTGTCTTAAAGTCGTATTTCATTTTTTACTTGGCATTGTCAATTTATCATCGACTCATGCGTTTGAATATTCTTTTGGTATCTTCCTTCTTTCACCATAAGTTTCAACATTACACTTGTTTTTCTTACAGTTTAGATATTTATTTCCAAACTCATCAACCACGCCGAACATGTTATAAAATGCTACAAGTAGGTCAGCCAAGAAAAGTCGTTTTCGATGTTAACGAACCAACACTTTCAGTGTTACGGGTGCTTCACAAAGCAATTTTTATACATATAATTTTTGTTTATATTCGACCGGCCCAGACATTTGACTTAAAAATGCCTTTGGTGGGTTTGTAACTTAGATATTCCCAACCTGTTCACTGATTTTGTTTTTCATACTTATAAAAATAAGAAGATGTGGTATGATTGCCAATGAGACAACTCACCATAAGAGACCAAATAACACAGAAATTAACAACTGTAGGTCACCGTACCTTCAGTGTTACGGGTGCTTCACAAAGCAATTTTTAACCATAAGATATTTGTTTATATTCGACCGGCCCATACATATTTGACTTCAAAATGCCTTTAGTGGGTTTGTAACTTAGATGTTCCCAACCTGTTCATTGATTTTGTTTTTCATACTTATAAAAATAAGAAGATGTGGTATGATTGCCAACGAGACAACTCTCCACAAGAGACCAAATAACACAGAAATTAACAACTATAAGTCACCGTACGACCTTCAACAATGAGTAAAACCCATACCGCATAGTTAGATTATTTGAAAAGTATGGAACCAACTATATAACAAAACAAAAAGTAATAATTTTATCACAGTTTGTTTTTAAAAATAGAGAGAATACACCAATGGGGTAATCAGGGAAATAGATATCATAAAATAATCAAAATTTCATGCAATTGTATTGCATTCAAAGTATGCATGGAATACGCTGCTTCTTATCATCCACTAAACTCATTTACTTTATACTGAACTTTACTTCATTTAAAGGCAAACCAGATATATGCATTTTTTAACTAACAAGTTCAATGCTATGAATTGAACATGCATCTCTTTATTTTTTTGTACATTTTTTATCAACCATATCTACATAAACATGTTGATGTTATCATCTGTCTCATTTATCTCAGGCGCAACGTGAAATTTATTCCTTTAAATCCTTTGCACAACGAATCGACGTAAATTTTGTGCCTAAGAAACGCACCAATGGCTTAAAATGTCGTCAAAACACTATAAGTTTGAAGGGATGAAAACGATTGGAATCCAGCGTATTGGTATCCCATTTCGTATAATAATTTATACTAGACAGTCGTAGAGGACAGAGAATAAAGCGTAAATACCAATTCTTGCATAATGAAGATCAAACATAGGAAATGCGTAATAAAATTTATCATTTATGTCATCAGAATTTATTCCACAATGTATATTCGAAGCGATATGGCATATTCAACAATCGGGTCTCGAATTGCGCTTTGTCATGTTCATAAAATCAAATTCTGAACTTCCGTATATGGTTTATTAACTTCTCCGTAACTAGCAATTGTTCTATTAGCCAAAGTTTAAAGAAGCCAATCGTAATTTCGTTTGTTAAGTTAAAAAAAATCAAGCTGTTGAAAATATCTGTGGACAAATTGGTATTTCATTCTCTTGACACCAGGTTGTCTTTTTATTATCCCTACTCAGGTAATGGAAGACAACTTTTAATGTATGAGAATAGCACATTTTTCTATTTATTTTTCTATAAATTTGATTTATTTACAGAAAAGATTTTGAAACGCATGCATGGATTTGTTGAGGAATTTTTCGAAAAGATTTTTTATTATTTTTCATGAAATTTGATGTTATAGTCATATGAAACTTCGAACTTTAAAAAAAAATAAATATGTTTTATATAGAAATAAGATGTGGTATGAGTGCCAATGAGACAACTCTACATCCTAATCACAATGCGAAAAACGTAAACAATTATAGGTCAAAGTACGGTCTTCAACACGGAGCCTTGGCTCACACTGAACAGCAAGCTATAAAGGGCCCCAAAATGACTAGTGTAAAACAATTCAAACGAAAAACCAACGGTTAATCTATATAAAAAACGAGAAACGAGAAACACTTAAGAACCACATCAACAAACGATAACTACTGAACAACAGGTTCCTGCCTTAGGACAGGTGCAAGCAAATGCAGCGGGTTTAAACGTTTTAACAGGTGTCAACCTTCACCCTAACCTGAATGCATTGACTTTAACAACGAGACCTCTCATTAGAACTTTGGTTCCCGCACAGTGCAAGTGCGATGGGAAAACATTGATGAGAGAATGCAAACAAACGTGCAATGGAAGGTAAATAGTAATAACTGATTCTTATTAAAGAACAAATTAAATACATCGAATCAGTTAACAACTGTTATGGAAAAGTTTAATTAAAAAATAGGAACGAATGAAAAATATTTAAAAATATCATGGCTCTAATAATTCATTTATTTTTCGCGTACTCTACGTGCTCTGTGTTGAATGTTTATCAATGTCAAAATCCGGTTACCTTCGGCAAAAAACTCGAAAGTTAATTATCTTGCAATCAACTGTCACTGATATTCTTTGACGATAAAACTTTAAAGATTCCTAATAAATGTAGAAAACGTGTGCATGCTTTGGTTCAATAATTTCGATAACATAATAATAACAAGAAAACCGTTTCATATGACTTTAAATGACGGCTGGTAAATAAATTATAAATAACCTGAATAGTGAAATTTCCACGCTGTCATTAATTTGACATTAATTTTTATATCAGTCTAATAGCGTACTTGCATCACACGTATCTTTCTTTATTTTATTCTAAAATGTAGCTTATTCAGCAAATATTAGTTATGTCGCCAATGGTGGGAAATACTACCGATTTTCTCATCTTGTTAGCATTCTTAGGCTATATTAGGATATTTGCCTGACATTATACTCATATCTAAGTAATCTATTCTGGATACAAGATTATCTTACCTCCTATAAATTTCTAGGAATATCATTGGTTAAAAGAGAACACTTGGAGACCGTGTATATTTAATATTTGGCAGTGGGCTTGTTTTATCTAAATGCACGGTTAGTGGCAGTGGTATGTCCCTTTATAAACAACATAGTTGGCGTTGAAGGAAAATCTGAAAATTCGCCCAGACAACAGATGAAAAAATTGATGATAATCGGTTGAAAATAAATGCAGAAAACACATTAAAGCTGACAAATTGTTATTGTTGACATTTGTAATTGTATAGACCAATGGAAGTAGGTTCTTTATATTGAAGACTTTATAGACGGGCCACTAGTCTAAATACCAACAAACCTAGGTATCAAATTATAAACTTTGTATTGTAATATATTCAATGGTGATACGAAACTGCAAACATACTGCACATTAATTATTTCTAAATATTGAGGCCAAATACAGGATTTACTATACCATATAATAGAAAAATCTTACCATGATATGATGCGTGCTCGATCAACATATCTACAACATATCAATATATTTTAATATAAACGATCAATTATAAAAAAAAAACAATTAAGCTTGAAATAACATGTTTTTTTTCATCAATCAATCGGAAGTCATACAGACGAATATTTAGATGTTCTGTAACCCCATAAATGTCAATGAAAGTTAGATATGAATTAAGGCAGTTTATTTTTTGTACAACCTACAAGTATTTACAACAGTTCTCATATTAGGTACATTTTTACCAGTCCGCAAATATTCAATGTAGTCTACATGAAATACAGATATGCAACGATCTCTGTTGGATAATTGTCTTATTGGCTACCGTACAACATCTTATTATTTTTAAAACGTTTCGTAAGTTAAAACAATACAACTATAACTTACAGGAACTCCCAATACCAATAACAAACCCCAAAACAAAACAGAAAATAATCAACCCATACACATTTTTAATATCAAAGTAACGACTTTGCCGATTGTTTTTCTTCAGGAAATATATATAGTTAAGATTACACATGTTGTTATTGCATTTTGAATCATCCTCTCTTGCTGGGGTACACTTTCTTTTCGTTTGCTTAAATGCAGAATTTTTAAAACAGTAGAATTTTCTGGAATTCTGTTAAGTCAAGGTACAAAGAAGAAAAGCTATATTTTTTATTCAATCATCGCTCTCAGCAGGAAAGTGCATTGGTTCTGCTTTAATTTCATGGAGTATATCGACATGCATATTCTTCCAAACACATTGCCGTATGATCTTTTTAGAATACCATTCACTCCGAGAGACTTTTATTCCATACTCATGTTCGTCCATGGTCGTTTAGTGAAAACATAGATAATGGTACCGATAATTCGTAGTCACACGTAGATCAAGTAATATCAAATTAAGCGAAAATCTCTGAAGAATCATCTACATTCTAATTTGCTTTCATATGTACCACTATTTGGGTTGAATAAGTCATAAAGGTCAATTCTAGTAGCAATAGTTGAGATTTTTAACGATACACCCTTGTTTAAAGGTAATGTTGTTTACCGAGCCCGTAAATTTAGATACGATCCTGGTAAACATATCGATCCTTTAAATTGACTTATTCCAATAGGAACTCTGTATATAACATTATATCTTTAAATATTGTTTTATCGGTATCAATATTGATTATCTTATCAATAAATTAAAACCCAACTTAATATTATTGTTTTACACATATGTACATTCACAGACCTACATTCTGTCGAACCTATATTTTGGCATCGCACAATGTCATGTTTTTTCTCTAAATGTTAATGACATCTTTACACTAAATCCATTGGATGTGTATTCATTGATATCTTAGTCTTATGTTTTGAACTTTGATGCTTTGAACTAGCTTTCTGTAACTCAAATCTGCCCTTTGTGTCTTTTGTGTTTGTGTCTGTTGTTTCTGTAATTTGTATCAATCTGATGAGTTAAGCACTTTTCAACAGATGTTTATGGTTTGTTCTTATGTTGTGCTGATACACCACTGTACCAAGTAAGGGAGGGTTGGGCGCCAACAAACATGTTTCATCCCAACACATTATGTATATCAGGCGTCTCTTTTTTGATGGTTGTCGTAAGTTGCTGTATATCATATTTGTTTTTCGTTTATTGATTATGAACATAAATCAGGCCATTATTTTTCTCGTTTGAATTGTTTTACATTTGTCATTTCGGGGTCTTTTATAGCTTGTTGTGCGGTATGGGTTTTGCTCATTGTTGACGGCCGTACGGTGACCTATATTTGATTACTTCTATTTAATTTGGTGTCTGGTTTTCTCATTGACAATCATACCTCATTTTCTTATTCTTATAAAGCAACTTCGATAATTAAGTTGCTTTGTAGGACGTTAAACATCTCCAACTACTATTAATACTTGTATAGACCTTCTTGTCATGTTAATATAGCTACCATATGTGTCACAATTCAAAATAAATTAAATTATGTTTTGGTAATTTATGTTTGATTTGAGTTGTAGAAAATTAAACGATTCTTTCAGAGCAATTTATTATAAGTTTTCATACAAGTGAAAAATGCGAATATCTTATATTTACTCAACAGTACGTTTCAATGATTGTACAAGGAAAATGTATATTCAGCATCAACACAATGTACACAACCAATGCTAACCGTGTTTTTGTCTGTCAGCCATCGCCTTTTCTACAATGAATTTGTACTTTATATCATTTCAAAATATATCATTATATCATATTTTATCATAGTATATTTGAAGTTGTAAAATTCATATTATTTTTCATCTCTTAAAAGCGTTAAATAAAAAAAAAATAACTCAGAACAATATTACAAGAACTTATTAATTGATGACTGGATGCATGAGCAAGGTACAACTGGAATTCTTTCATCAAAACGATATTTTAACTTATATTATGTGAGTGACCTAATACGATATATACGGGATCAGTAAATTCCATATAAGGCTCAAGCTTCGCTCGTCTTTGCCCCATATGGAAATTACCGACCCCGTATATATCGTATTAGGTCACTAACACTGTGTAACTGATATTATATGGATTTAACAATGTTAAGTTTTTAGTTATCTGTACTTGACTTGTAATAATATGTATCTCGTACGCAAACAGTATCTATTTTGTTGAAGCAGTTCATACTGAATTTTGTTTACTGATTATACTAGAGCATCTTGCAAGGTCCAGCAAAAATGTTACCTAGAATCATTATACAAATATTTTGCAATTTTCGAAACGCTCAATGTTTCAAAATTGTAACACTAATGTGAACATATTTGATTTCATGAAGAGAAAACAAAGTAATGCAAAGCAAACTTACCTAAAGCTTCGATTATACCACGCTTGATCATGCTGGGTTGGTTCGTGAGGTATCTAAAACAAATCTAAATGTTTTTTATTTTTCATATAAATCAATGTATACTAGTATGTATTCTTTTTTTTTTTTCAACAGTTTCGGTTTTGGACAGGCTGAAGAGAAAATAACACATATATATATACGATAAAGTCGCCGATTACTTAGTGGTCCTGGTTTTTATTTTAATTTATACACAGCAGCTACATAGTTTTTGCCGGATGTTTGTCCCAAAACATTGCAGACACGACAGTCAATTTTAGAAATCGATTACTAATAAAGTAATCAAAATCAGAACGGTATTTAGTTTCAGAAAATAAATTTTCCTTTTATTTGAAATTATTCCGCTGCATCATTTGGATTCTACCAGTGGGTCTCAAGAGTGTGTGCCCGCTACAGAAGAAACTTTTTTTATTGGGAATAATTACTATTATATGATCTACTTATATTTGTGCCGATGGAATATGTTAATGTATTTGGCAAAACCTTTCGAAATTTGGATTCCTCAATGCTGTTTAAATTTTCGTACTTTTTTTTGCCTTTTTAAATTTTTTGATTCGAGCGTCAATGATGAGTATTTTGTAGACGAAACGCGTCTCTTGCGTACAAAGTTTTTATCCTGGTATCTACAATGAATATATCTATCAAAAGGAACATAACCATTGTACTCATTTTAAGAAAGGAATATCAAAGTGATAGAAGGATGCCAAATGATTCTTGAAGTGTATATGAAAGTTTTCATGCTTTATTGATTTGAATTTGGTTGAAATTCAAATTGAAATTATAACCCAATCCTACAAAATTTATTGACGATTATCTTTTTGATTAATCATTCAATTGGTGATCTTTAATACTGTTCCCCGTTTTGTTCGTTAGAATTGGGGTCTCAGTGGCCGAGTGGTCTTAGTAGTTCATCTTTACTAATGTTCCAATTCTCGCAGGCAAATTTGACATTAGATTAGGATCTGGCTATTCTTTGTTGGTGCTTATTGGTCATTTAACTTATCGTATTTTCAAGTACTAGTATATCTTGGGCTTTCAAGTTATTGATTTGATCGAACTTGATATAATAAAGATTAATCCAAGATAGCACCCAAATCATAAAGTGATATTTCTTTCGTGTTTCCTTTCTTTTCTGAATTTCTGTTTTTCTCTCGTCTGTAATGAATTTTTCGGCATGCTAGACAGATGTCTTACCTTCCCGGGGGTGGTGTCAGCAATATTAAGCATTTGCGAATCACCTTGATATCTCATCCATCTTTTACGAAGGAGAACCAACAGGATAACGGTTGTTCATATTGAGAATTATGAACCAGTCATTGCCGACAGACCTTCACGTTATTTTCCATCTCTAGTTGTACTGTTATCCGTTTAAGATGAAATGTATTCTCACTCACTACATGTGTATATGTTGGTTAAAATTATTATGGAGGCTTATTAATTGTGGGGATTTCTATGTCCACCTATCATATGTCATATGCCATTTACGCGTTATACTGATTGATGTTAAGTTAATCAGTAAAGGCTTAGTGTTTTCAAATTGTTTAGTCAATACAATGAAAAAGTTCTACTTCATAAATATCTGCAACAATATTAACGTGTACCTGCCTTTTCAAAATTAATTGTCTTTGGAAGATTTTTTGCTGTCAGTTTTGTCCTCGAAGATATTTTTTTTTCAATTGTTTGTGTCATTATAAGTGTTAGTAAGTAAAATACTTAAGACCCATCATATGCGCTCGTACCAAAGCAGTTAGAGAGCCACAGAAAGTTGAAGAGCATTGAAAACCAAAAAAAATCGAAAAGTTGTGCCAAATACGGCTCAGGTCATCTATGCTTGGGGAGAAAAAAAAAACTTTAGTGTTTCAAATAATATAAAAAAAGTAAACAGAAAATTTACTAAGACTTAACTTAATATTGATAATTTATGTCAACACAGAGGTGATGACCACTGGGCAGATCAGCAGTGGCATTGACAAAGCCTTGTATCTTTGACGGTTTTGTAAGCACCGAATTACAGATACGGTAGTCATCTTGTCATATAAACGTCTCTCAGGAAAATTTACCCAGTAAGTTCCATTAGCTACCCAATGTAAAGCTGCTCATGGACCATGGTTATCAAAGGTAGGGCTAGGAATGTACTCTAATGCGCACTAATACCACATAAACCTTAGACACTTAGGTCAAACAGGACATACTTTTCTAATTGTCGTTTAATTTCCTCATTTGACAGGCTGTTGGTTTTTTTTTGGCATCTTATAGTACGATACAGATATTTATTCGTTTCTCCTTATAAAATTTGATCTGAATCATCGTCACATATGGCTGTTTGAATTATTATCCGAATTATTTTTGCGATGTACTTTGTCAAATCATGAACTTTGCCATTGCTTTATCTTGGAGGGAGAACCCATTTTGAATCTATAACTCCTCATAGACTCTTTGTTTTGATGAATTGTAACTTTTAAAGATATAATCGATCCCAATGAAGGTAAATACAGAAAAGCGCTATGTACCGACAAAATTAAAAAGTGTAATTTTCATTTGTTATTAACCTTTTAATGCAATTTTTCAACTCCTATTAATTTAGCCAAATATTTTTGGGGTGTTCATTAGCAATTCAAGGTCTTTGCAAGCGGTAGTGATATTTGTTTTTAGCTTTGCTCCCAATACCTCTTTTTTTTCATTACTATAATCTTATTCTTATTGCCACTAGGAATATCTTATTGTCGTTAAGCAAACAACAATCAATCATATGCAATTTGTTTTATGAGCCTGCTCTTACCGAAAAGAATGCGTGAAATTAAATCGACAAGCACTTCAGACCTTTTTTTGTGAACAATGTAAAATGAGGTATAAAATACCAAAGATGCAATCAAAAACAATAAGTCTAACAACAATAGACAGCATTAGATCATGATCATTACCCATCTCGACTTTTGGTGACATCTGAGAATTTGAAGGTTCCTACTATGTAATATTTACCTTAACTACAAGAAGATATACTTTACTAACTGAAAGTGTGAAAAGATGATTAAAGCTCTAAATATTCTGCTTGACATTATTTTTGTACGTTTTGGCAATACAGTATGTCGACAGGTTGTCGGTATTTTTATGGGCACACATTGCACCCCTTTAAAAGCAGACTTGTTCCTGTACTGTTATGAAATACAGTTTATTGCCAAAAACTCAGTAAATTGATACTTTTAATAACAATAGTCTTTTCATAGATTTAGATATTTCAGTCTCACGGGAAACTATATACGAACAATTATGACAAAAGAGACGGTTATTCGTTCCCTATTGTTTATCTTTTTTCTTTTTTTTGACCGTGATGTTCCTTTGTTCCCATCTTACGGTGTTTATATACCTCAACTCATTCGTGTCTGTAGTGACGTTTTATATTTCATGAGATAGATCTATGGATCACTGGTAAATTATTAAGTCATGGATTTCGTTACCACAAATCATTTAAAACCTTTACTAGTAAAATGAAAACAATACTTTATAAATTCAACGCGTCCGACGCGCTTTTCTAGATTTACATGTACCTTCATCAGGGACGCTCAAAGCCGTATACTAGAGATTTCCAATAAAATGACATTACTCGACATAACTAACCTATCTGAACGTAAATCGACCTACTGCAGTGAACCACGACGGAGTGGAGCATAGACTGCATGAGTTGTTTGCTAGTTGAATGAACATACTTTGTTCGAATATATTTTAATTTAAATTAACCCATTCTGCTATTAAAAATTTTCCACATTCTATTTAAATAATGTATGATTTTTTTTGGCAACAATACTTTAAAGGGAATGATTAAATCAGTTACTTGTAAATATATGCACCGATCTCATTTGACCCACGTATTCGGCTCTTCTCCGGCAAAAAAAATTAAAACTACAAATTCAAAATTTAGTAAGAAAAATAGAAATTATAATGAAATCTGAAGCGTGGTGATATTCTATATTTGTTATTTGATTTTAATGTTGAAAGGTTAAAAAGGGAGTTTCAAACACGCCTGAGTGTAAAAGGTGTACACGACGTACTTTTTCAGCATATTTCTATAACTATTTCAAGATACTTTTGTTTGAGGTAGACATTAAGATTACTGATGAATTTATCAGATAGAACTTTCTAAAGAATTTACAAAATGAAATTTATGGAGATGCATCTTCAAGATGTAAAATTATTACATTTTTTTCAAATTAGTTGTTTTTCTACTACTTGTATGGGTTCTTGGAAGAGTCTTTACGTTAATGTCATAGCTCACATTGTTTTTATGACATATTGGACTTTAAACGTCTGAAAAACATACATTCGGAATATTTCATTGCAGTTTTGTTAAAAAAGATCTTTTAGTTTTTATACCCAACGTATGGGAATATTCTATTTTCTGGTCTGTGTGTTCGTCCGACCTTTTAAAAATATATACTGAATTTGTGATTTGATCCTGATAGAATTTTTCATAAAACATTGAAATATGATACTCTGAAAAAAAGGGGGTGGTGCAAGGTGTCTCACGGACATGTATTCTTGAATCATATGTTTTGAATATACATGTATGTGTATCTTCAATATTCATTATCTACACACTAACAATTTATTAAGTATAATTGCTTGCAAATTATGCATACTATACATTTAAGTACATATTTATTGAACACTTATGACTGCATTGTGCATTGGAATCTTATCATTTTTTTCCGCTGTGTTTCGTACTAATGACAAATGCACTTCAATGATTATGCAGTCTTAACGTATTCGGTGACCCCATCAATTGTAATCATTTAAATGGACTAAATAATAAATTCTAATATACATCAAGGTACTTTAAAGAAATTATCTTGACATGTCTTTTGTATTTGTACTCGATGAAGAATTTAATGACAAATATGCTTGTTGAATTAATTAATAACATGTCGTTTAATTTAGTGCTTAACATACAGCGTGGTCACTTGGTGATAATTTGAGGCCGTATAGTTACTCTGGGTGTCTTTTTTGTTAACTCTGGGTTTGG